GACTTGTACTTCCTTGTCTAACAGACATTTTTGTAACCAGTAGAAAGAGCATATTGTAATGTACAATCTGCAGGCATTATAGAATTTCCCTACAATTAGGGCCTGACATGGTCTGATGGTCAGGGGACAAGCAAACAAACAAAAAAACAATCACAGACTTTTAGTAGTATATAGATTACAAGCTTGTTATACAAACAAACAAACAAAAACAGATCTTTTAACAAAGTATTTCTACTAAAGATTTTTCTGTGAATTTATGAAGCCTTTATTAAGTCAGTCTACATGAAAGGCAATTATTATGCAAATAATAAAAATACTTTTCATTTGCATAACTTCTAGAACCTTCTAAATTAATATAAAAAGTTAATTTTCAGTAAAAATTTGTACTTTATCTTTTATTGTCTATATTCTAACACTACCTGTAGGTTTGGTGTGAGTTTTGCACAAAGATACATTAGGGCTATCTGCACTAGCTGTCCCTAATTTAGCAGTGTAAGACTAAAGGGAAAGCATCTAGTCAACACCACCAATACTTGGGCTACTCTTTTACAAACAAATAGTGGGACTGACCATCACATTAGAACACCCCCATGGCTGAAAGGTCAAACACATTTGGTGATGAGGACTTGAACCCGCGATGCTCAGATTGCGAGTCGAGTGCCCTGACCATCAGACCATGTCAGGCCCTAATTGTAGGGAAATTCTACAATGCCTGCAGATTGTACATTACAATATGCTCTTTCTACTGGTTACAAAAATGTCTGTTAGACAAGGAAGTACAAGTCAATAAATGACTTGCTATAACAAAGGCACATTATTGAGAAATTCTTCAAGATCTTGTTTTTGTCATCTTACTTCTTTTAATGAAGATGGGAACATTGACAGGGATATATAGATTTGAACGAAGAAGTTTTGTAAAGAGCGCGAATGGTAGTATGATGTAAAATTACTCATGTTAGAAATTTTCATAAAAGTGACCCGAAAAATGGTGCTAACTCGGTAACCCGTGGCCCGATTTTAACTAAACTTGTTTTATTCTGTTTCTATTCTTATTTCATTACAAATATGGCACTGTTGTGCACCGTATTGACTGTATTTAATTACAAATATACCTACAAGATATTTATACTGTATTATAAAAATCTATTGTTAAATGTGTTAATTTTTACACATATAACTATCTTAAACCTAAAATTTTGTTTTATATATATTTAAAACAATCACAATACTTTATAGTTACAAAATGCATAGTGACATTGATCAAATTATGAGAATAATTTCATATTTAGTTCTAAAAACATTAAACAATCTTCAGTACGTGTATATTAATGACTACAATACAAAAATTACACGTCTACACTCCAAACAACTAAACAAGAGCAAGAAAAGTCAGGCATGGAGACACACTTTTAAGTTATCTGGTTTGTTTAGGGCAAGTACATAAAATTAAAAATACACTAACAAAACCAAACACATTTTTGAAGTTTAAAAAAGTTTTTACGAGATTTTGGAGGATCTTAGGAATGAAAATGATATGGCATAATTTTCAAATTTATATTTACCTAAATAGCATTGGCATACTTTTGTTTTGTTTCAATTCTGAAATCGGTGTACTTTATTTAAATTTTATATATTTTTTTAATTCTAAGATCTTGCTTGAGGTTAAATTTTTCTCTGAGTGAAGGTATTTCTTTTATATTGGTTATTTGTTTGTCTTCTTTTCAATACATTTTGGTTATGCATGTCCTTTATTAATACTTTTTTTTAGTGTTAATTTTAATTTCAAATGCCACAGCAAACTATTTTTTAATTAATTTTTTGTGTATCGTTTCTGCTGGAGTTTTAATTGTAAACCCTTTTCTTATTACTTTTAGTGCTTTAACCCTATGCATACAGGGTTGGATAAGTTGATAGACCTTGTAATCACCACGTACCCATGAAACTATACACTATAACTCTGAATGACTGAGTGTATCTTCATAAAATTTGGCAGGATTTTAATAAACACTAGACCACCAGTGACCCATTGGGTCACCCACTATTCAGAAGTTATTCATAATTCAAGCTAATTTCAATATTGCACCGAAATGAAGGTTTATTTTGAGATAATTTAATTAAATATTTCAATCCATTCATGTTATTCATAATTCAAGAAAATATATTTGATTGATGATTGGGAGTAAAAGGAAAGACCATTTCATTTTTCAAAAAAATTAAATGACAGAGTTTTCAGGTACTGTGATGAATTAGTTCATTATGATGTGATCTTTCCTCTTAAACCTTCTCCAAATAAGAAACAGTAACACTTTGTTTTTTCTTCGAATTACCTAGTTGTATTTCAGTTCTAAGACATATATTCATAACTCATTTTTAATCTATTCTGTTGTGAACTAACATGTTTGATTTTTTTTTACAGAAATAGTGAAAATGTCCAGAACATCTTCACCAAGGTTAAAGTACCAAATTCCCTCAGGTTTCTGTAATGGTTTTTCTGTTATATTATCAAAAATGCATTGAGTTTTTGGTGCCATTTGGCAAGATGTTCTTTTTTTTGTGATTTACGTTTTTAGGGTATGAAATTGTTTTTAATATTATATACCCATCTGAATTTAGATAGTGAGATAAAAAAATATACTAAAGGTTTCTGAAGTGGTACTGGTAACATATGAACCAAGAATGCATGCAGTTGGTTGGAATAAGTGTTAAATTATTATACATATACATGTGTGTGTGTGTTGTGAACTAGAGTATTGTGAGTCAGTTTATGAGGCCAAACGTTATGGAATCTTAAAGGCAATTTTACAGTTGCTTTATGTGCATACAAATGAATTTAGTCTTATCTGTAGGGTAACATCCAATAAACAAGCAGATACAGTTTAAAATCATGATTATTTAGAATGCCACAAATACACACAGTTGTATTTATTCAGACAGGAGGTAAAAAAAAAATTATTATATTCGCACATACTTAACAGAAAGATGGTATAGGTGAGCTGACATTTGGAACTGAATTTCTGTTCTCGGATACCTAGAATCGTGGCTGTATTTCAATAATTTCTTAGTACCTGAGAATTCTGTCAGAGTTGCTTATTGAATTGGACTAAATGTTAGGTGCTAGTGTTACATACATTATAAGAGCACTGAACCAACCCAGTGTTGGTAGTCTACAGTATTCAAAAGCTAAAAAAATTTAAGAGTTTCATCAATATTTATTATACTTCTATGTTAATCTGCTGAGCTAAGACTTTGTAGCAACATCTTAACTAATTCTGATTGGTTTAATTCTAATAGTGGCAAGCACAAAGCTGAAACTTTAACAAATTAATAATTATTTATTTTCGATTTCATGAATAGTTCTACATCAAGTTTTTTGTTTTGTTTTTTTGTCCAGAGTTTCAGATTAAGTCTTTGCATAATAAGCAGAATAACTGAAAGTTTTATGGGGAAAAAAAAATATTACAGATAATTTTCTAGAAGTAAAGTTAAAAATTTAATTTAAAAACAAACCCTGATAGTTTAGTACACATTGGTTTCTTAGTTTCTACTGCTAATCCTGAATCTTCACAGTGGTGTTTCTCCAGCCAATATTATTAGAATGAAACTTAATAGAATTTACCAGAGCATTTATAGTATGCAAACAAGAAACTTGACTTTAGCAATTAAATCAGCTGAACCATAGCTAATGAATGGCATATTTGACATTATTTAACATGCAAATATTATATTTATATGTATCTTCTTTGGTTAGTAATTGTTTGTGGCTTCTAGTAGAGTATATCCCTTGCATTTATTACAATTTTGTTGTTAATGTTTCTTTAATAACAAACTTATGTGTTCATTCCACATTTATGCCTTTTCTAAAACAATTCTTCAGAATTAATTAATAAACATAAGTTACATGGGTAGTTTGTAAATTGAGTGGTGAGAACCTAGTATCAAGTTACAGATTATGTATGCACATTATACTACAGTGTTTCTTTTAATATTCTGTGGAGAATTAAAAGGTGGCAACTTTTTCAATATTTCTACGTGAAATACTTTGAAAATTCCAAGCTTATCAATAAACATTAGTTTCTGTGTAGTAAAATACTTAATTCAATGTTGATAGGAATTTTATTATTATAATAAAGTCAATAAATTCTGAGCACTATACTAGCTGAATTATAAAATTGTTTTTAGCAAATTTTTTTCAAGTAATTTTGGTTTAAGACATGAAGTGATATGGTGGGTAGTTTTACATGTTATCTGCTAGTAAAACTTTTTAATCTCACAACTTCATTTGCTGATAATGTTATAAAATCATTTTAAATGTCATTTCTGTTGTATAAGAAGATTTTGAGTAGATTTAATCAGAATATAGTACTTTTACCTCATCTTTTGTTTAGGAATATATGTTTAATATATAAAAGGATCATAATAGAAAATGTCATTTTACCCAAGTATATATATATATTGTGTTCATGGTGTAGCAGCCAATAATAAAAATATTATAAAAAAACACGCAAATAAGATAACATGTTTATTATTTGTGATTTACTACACTAAATGACATGAAAACAGTAGTACAACAGTATTGTTTGTCTACCTGTTAGTGGCGAAAACTAACGTATTCAAGCAGCAATATTTATTCACACCAAATCGTCTCTACTAATACACAGTTTTCACACATCACAATTAGACTTATAGGTACCCAGTGAAACATCTATAGAAAAAAACTACTACTTTCGTTTCAAAAGAATACCTTAGTAATGAACTCCATTTTCTGAAGATTAAGTCAGAATAATACGATTGCTCGCATACTATATTACCATATAGGTAGATTCGAAAAATCGATAATAATTCGTTTGGCATTGAAAACATGTACTTAAATTCTCGTCTGTTACTAGACAAGTGGTTTGACTATAAATTATTTCTAGTGCTTCAGTAAATCAGTGCTAGGTCATTACATATATACCGACATCATACATAAATTATTATTAAACATTCAGATTTCATTGTCACTTACAACAGCAAAGTATTGCACAAGATAAACCTTAAAACGATTTTCTCGTTCACGAAACTTGAAATCTAGGACTATACTGAAGAAAAATGTGCTGTGAACTGCTGCCCTCTTTCGTTTATTATTATTATTATAAATTTAATAATTCTTTATATCTTATGACGAAATATCCGCTACAGTTTTGGTTCAAGTACTTAATGTTATTTTTTTTCTTTTCTTCTTAAATCTAAAGGTAATGTATGTATTTTTATGTCATTATAGATGATCATACAGTAACTGTAAATACGCCAATGAAATGTGTAACAGAGACGTAGAGAAATATACACTGACATTGTATCGTATACCAGTTTGAAAATCCTAGAATATGGTAAATATAATGTACACAGGTTTTGTTGTTGTTGTTATTAATGTAGATTTGTATAGTTTTATTCAAAGAATTGAGTTAGTAAAGCTTACTAACACACATGATTGAAGTGTATTTTCTACAGTATCGGTCAACAAAACTATGTTCGCAATAGAAATAGCGTTTTAAATTGAAAGAAAAGAATGAACATCATTGCGTAATGTGCCAGGTCATTTTTATATCTCTGTCTCTCTTTGTTATTTTTTCTTCAACACTTTATTATACTGATAATTGTATAGATACAAATAACAGAGGAAGATAAAGTAGTAACGTTTTGCTTAACATTTCGGATTTACTTTGATATTTTTTATATAAAAAAAGGTTTTGTACGTAGAAGAATGGCATATAACTAGGCTGCATGTTACGTTTCAAAAAATAACTGAATAAATAAAATTATAACAGTTTAATGTTTTAAACCGGAAAGCTCAAGTTTACACTAAGATTGTGTAATAAATAAAGAAGACGAGCATAAAAAAAAAAAACGAATCAAACATAAGTAGAACATCACTGGTAACTAGGAAGAACTTTCGCATGCCAAAAAATAATTTACAATGGCTTATACTTAAAATACTTGCATCACACTGACGTAGCAGATAATTTTTGAGGTGGCGAGCGGTTACGAAGCGTTTTTAAAATTAATATATTATAGAATACAAAGTATATTAGCTGATAGATATAAAGAGAAATACTAAAGAACGTATGTGTGTAATGACTGATAGAGTGTGAACAAGATGATAATGGAGTATGTATGCGTAAAAGATGCAAAGAGATAACGCAGATACACGAATCTGTCGGTATAAAATGCTACAGACAGCCAAATATTAATAATAGGTAAATCTGTAAAATGTTCGATAGAAATACCTATAAACAATAAATAAAGCTGTAAATACTTCTAAAGGAACAATAATCAACAACAGTTACAATGGGGGTAAACCTTGTAAAATGAAGCTGCAAAAAGGTTGAAATAATGCCACAATTAAACGCTTTGAAGTTATATGTAATTCAGATTATTAGAACGTGCGTACATATACAAATGAACGGTATACATGCTTGTCTTATTTAATAATATAACAGTTTGTGCTAATATACAGAGAAGCGAATCTACGTTTTTAAGAAAAGTTAATCAAAGTCTCCTAGTTTAACGGTGGAGAATTTCTACAGTTATGTGGCAGATATTTACAGCAATACACAACAACTTCTAGTTAATAGAACAGTAAACTTTGAAGGAGAATAAGAATTCCTCTGGTGAGAATTGAAGTGAGTTTTTCCGCCACATTACAAATCCTACGAAGTTTGTGGGACTTAGTGGTATTAATATTAACTTCCGGTCAGATTTATTTTTGGGTTACAATGGTAATGCACCAGCCACATTTATAGTAGTAAATATTAACATAATTTTATTTCGAATTATAATGACAGTATATTCGGGTAAAATAAGTATCATCAAATTACAATTGATTTGTTATAATTGTATGCCTGGTTCGATTCCTTCGAAAAGCTTAATACGTAAGCATACAACTTTAGACAAATTATTTTGTGTGTGAATATTATTATTTTTTGAAGTACTACAGAACCTTACCAACATAATATATATGTGTGTGTGCATTCTAATAGATTACACGATATTTTCACTTAGCCGGATGTGGAGTTTCCTAAAATGATATTTCGAGTAAATTAAGAACAACAAGAAAAGATAGTACAAATAAAAAACGCAACTAGAAAGTTAAGCCTGCCCCAGTGATAATATTTTGTTAATTATACATACGTATAACGTTTAAACAAGTTGAATAAAACATTTGTCAATAAACGAGAATAAATGTAGCAATTTCTGATACTTTTGGAACAACCAATCAAAACGTTCAACCACAGAAAAAACTACATACTACTGACTAGTCAAAATTATATAATAAAAGACGTAGACGGAATCTTTATTATCCATCCAAATACTTCTTAATGTGACACAGGTATTGAATTAACTAATTTCAATATTTTATATTCCACATATACAGTATTGCGCTTTTTGTTTAATTTTTTTAAAAAACTTACTGAAGGGGAAGGGTTAAAAATAAAGTTTGTGAAGTTATCTGAATATATATTGACACTTTTATTAACAGAATTCATAAGTTTTCAAGTTTAACGCAAGTGAACACCTTGTTTGATCAATTACTATTTTGTGGTTGAAATATAGATTAATCATCGATTGCGAATACATAAGATAAAAATTCGGACACTAACCTATGGAAGAATCACAGGAAACCCACAAAGCGATTACAGACGATTATTATTATTTACGTTTTATGTCGACTATCAGCTTCATAATATATTATTTTATTTTATCTACTCGAATATTTGTTCAAAAATTCATAGAAACGTAAATTATGATATCTGAATAGCAATGCAATCATTAAGTTATAGATTTTTTTATATATTCCAATGGAATCTAATCCACCCCTTCATAGACGAAGAGGTAGGCGTCTTTGCAATAGCACTAAAGCCTTATAATCTTTGGTAAATCACGATAGGCGCCATCTATGAAATACTGAAGATAATTACACATTCAATTAGGACTCTTTCAGTGAAAAAGAAAAATTCAAAGTTTTAGCTATTTGATAATACTTTGGTTGAGTTCTTTATTGACTTTATTTTTTACGATAAGTAAATATTAGATGTTACTAAGAGTTCATTAGACGGCACCAGTCACAATAAACCACAGTTAACCATAACAGTATAGTGCCTTTAACATTGATAAATTAAACTTTTCACTTTTCCGCAAGGGAAGTAATGGTGAGAGACGTTCTTCTGGGACGAGGCATGTCATAGTCTACCATGGATAATGTTCGCCTCCGACCAACTGCTCCCAGAGTCTTGTGCTCCACTGGGGGAAGGTTTCTTTGTCGATCAACCCCAGGTAAAGTTACTGATGTCACTTAAGGGGGGAGAAGATAATTATGTTTATTTTTTTCACGCTGTTTATAAAATATATGCATATAATATATAATAATTGCATTCAGAAAACAATTATTTAAACACTCGTTTTAAATATACGAATATACTAGATATCGAAATTAAAAACCTTACAAGAAATGATCTTCCACAAATAAATCTTCTTTTTAAAAATTTATCTAACGATCCTACTTATGAACGTGAACAAAGTCTGTGTATTTTTGAAAACGTATTCGTAAAAGCTGATAATAGATGGCGGTAAAGAAGTTACAACAACGGCACAAAAATCGATCATAAGTGGAAGAGGAACATGTTGGTTACACTTTCAATCAAACAGTGATAGAATACCACATACATATATATATTTCTTTGAGCTTAGGTAATACCTGGTGTCTTTGGATCTTTTAAAACTCCACAAACATTAATTTATCTTGCTTGATTTCGATTGAAACTATTAAACCTACTCTAGACACTGAAATATCATTTAGTACATTGAACGTTATGTATTATCTATTCTGTGTATTCATTTTCCATTACCCTTGTAAACAATATGATTGATCATTTTTAGTGTAAGTAACTACCGTGATTTTATATTCTATAAAACGTGAACAGCTGTTAAAGAAATCTAACGTGAGTTCAGACTATTAATCTTTTAACGCAACATTACAACTATGATGCTTGAAATAAATATATGACATACAAAATAAACTGTATACAGTTTTTTTATTTTAAAAGGTGGGTTATATTACAATAAACTATATTCCGCATTCCTTTTTACACTAAGCGAAATCTGGTACCCATAGAAACAAAAAATATATTGAACATACCGCTTTGGCTTGTTTTGGGTTTGTTTTTTTTTGTTTTTGTTTTTTATATACTAAGTTCGAGAGATGAGAATCATTCAACTAGAAATGTTTCGCATCGAGAGAAAAAAAACAACAACAAAACTTTTATACGTATAATGATAATGTGCAAAAGATTCATTTTAAATATATTAGGGTAAGGTTAGACTCATTCTTTATTATTTTCTCTCGTATTGAAAAATTGTTCCTATGGAACATTGGCAGGTTTACGAATTTACAAGGCCAAAATCCAGTGTTCAATTCCCCGCAGTTAGCCTCAAATGGCTTTGCTCTAAAACAAACAAACTGAAGTAGTGGCCAAATTTAATTTCGTGTAAATGTTTATTTGTTTGGAATTAAGCACAAAGCTACACAATGGGCTATCTGTCCTCTGCCCATCACGGGTATCGAAACCCGGTTTCTAGCGTTGTAAGTCCGCAGACATACCGCTGTGCCACTTTTCTTCATTAACGAAATAAATATAAAATGACTGTGCGTGTTATTGTAAAGATAATACCGCTTTATATCTGAAAAAAAGTTGATTCGAACCATTTATATAAAAACTTCAAATTAAATAGAGCTATACGATGGTATACTTTATATTTTTCTGACAAAATTAATTATGTTCCGATTCCGTAGGGCCTGGCATTGCCAGGTGGTTAGGGGTGCTCGACTCGCAATCTGAGAGTAGGGGGTTCGAATCCACGTACCACCAAACATGCTCGCCCTTTCAGCCGTGCGGCTTTATAATTTGACGGTCAATCCCAATATTTATTGGTAAAAGAGTAGCCCAAGAGTTTGCGGTGGGTGGTGATGACTAGCTGCCTTCCCTCTAGTGTTACACTGCTAAATTAGGGACGGCTAGCGCAGATAGCCCTCGTGTAGCTTTTCGCGAAATTCAAAACAAACAAACCGATTCCGTCTTAGTTTTTTAATGGAATTAGAATTCTGGATATCATTTCTCTTTCGCTCCAAGCCATAAACACATATTTAGTCCAAAACGCCGTTCCCTGCAGTGGTCAGTAGAACAAGAGTCAATGTGAAATTTATGTACGATATTAAATTTAAGGTAGTAATGGCTTCCACAATTGTCTGTACATAATAGTCTAAATTTTGCATTTCCTACAGAAGATAAAATAAAACACAGAGAAATATACATACACAGTCCCAGACCTTTCACAAATAACAACAGGTTTTGGGCTAACTTTTCAGGCTGCAAAAAAAAAAAAAAATAAATATGAGAAAGTGGAATCAATAAACAAAGTTCCAATATAAAAAAATCACTCTTTAAACATCAATGAAAAATCTGTGTCTTTTTCTGTAACGTTCACATTTCAACAAAATCGTTCTTTAAGAATATTGAACGAAATGATAGGCTGGATATGAAGTTATTTATTTATTTTTCATTCTTTATTTATCATTAAACTGTGTTAGTATTCCATCGAATTCCACACATGACGTTGTTTCTGTTCCAGTATAAACAGCAAACGATTTACAAACAAAAAAGGTTCAAACAGAAGAACAAAACGTTAATACCCACCCGTTTATAATTAATATTGTTACGACAGCGGAAGTCATGTGACGCTAGTAACACGTCATAAGCTTCTAGAAAATTCATGTCCGTTCGTGAAGCCTCGAGTGTTCTCCAGATGTACGTTTTTTGTATATATAAGACCGGTAAAAAGTGACGGCAACAATGGAATAGCAGACTGGCAGAGATAGACACGGACAATTGAGTCAAGCGCGGTAGTGACTGTAAGTAAGTGCGTGAATCATTGTGAATTATAGCGTGTGTTTAAAGTGACTGTGGAAATTAAGTGGATTGCAAAGTTGAATTGAGAAAGAAAACTAGTTTTATTTAAGAAAGGACTTGTATCGCTGAAGTTCTCTTCAGAAGGAATTTAAAAAATTAACAAACGGACTAGAGACGTAACAATATCTTAACTTTAATGAGGGCATTTGAATCTTTGAAATATATAGAACTAAAAATGCTAGCTAAACGATAACAGTATTCAAATACTTACAGCCTCCTGAACAACGTCGCCGACGCGATCGAACTTCATAAAAGTTGTTTTCTGTTTATTCATGCGTGCAAGCATGGTATGGACGGCTTGCACGTGGGCTGATTTTGTCCCCGTCACTAGCATCACGTCCATGGTTCTGAAATAAGAACAGCGAACTTCAACGAAAACAAAACATTTCAACATTTTAAACTTTGTAATAACTGCTAGCTTGTTCTTCAAAACAAAAATTAGTGTTATGTTGTTGAATTAAGCCCTTGTGTAAAATTTGCGGTTCATCTAACTTTATAAATAATTGCAGTATAGTTTATGTTGCAAAATAATCATAAAAAATACACTGTTACAAAAGTTTTCAAAACGTAGTTTTTAACTAATTATGAACTTATTACAGCTTTATCTGACTGGGAAGCTGTCATGTAAGCAGTCAGAAAAGGGGAACATTATTTTACTTTGCAATCAAAGGAAGAATGAATTGTAAATTAGATTTAAATCAAATTCGAAACGTTTAAACCCAACCTTGGACATCGAATCACAAAATGTTATCGTAACAGCTAGACATATATCTTATAAAAAGAATGATGAATGAAACACAAAACGTATTTTATTTTTTAAATCATTTATTGTATTACGTTTTACCAAACGGCTCACAGATAAGGGCAATTTCGTTGTAAAATGTTGAATCACTAAGTTTTAGTACCAACTGTAAAATAATTTAAGTGTTAAATTTAAATTTCTTAAACTAGTGTAGTCTGAATAAGAATATTTAAGGCTATTATTAATGCACTCCAAAACCAGCCTTTTTCATAGCAGTTTTTCTGTTTTTTGGAGGGGACTTTCATAGTTATAAAAGTGTGTTAAAATTTGTCATTACAGCTATCAGAAGTTGTAGAAACTCAAGCCCTAAAACCGCATTTTTTTCTGAAGTACAATATATTTGTCTTCAATGTTTATCGTTTTTAAGATGAAAGAGTGTATGTGTAGAAATACTAAATTTTAGTTCTAAGAATGACAGACGATAGCCATGATTTTTCGAGCTGTGTCACAATCTATAGTAGTCCTAATACATATGTTTGGAATGTCTGTTTTAGCCTTTATAGTTTTAAAGACTAGGAAGCAATTTTTGTCTATGTAGAAATTCACTTTTAACTTTTAGAAATTATGACCTTTAGGGCTTCTGTAATCTGAAATGGAAAATACTATTTTACATTATTTATTCATTTATTTTGTAGTTAGCGCTTGCCTTGGCCTATTAATCACTCAGCTTCTAGTTCGTAGTTTAAAACAAGGATCTCAAAATCGTTCCCTATAAATCGATCGATTATGTGTTTTGATACGACATTTTAAAGCAATGGGATAATAAAATCTCAAGTTATCACCAATCGTCAGCAGAACTTTAAACTCCATACCACAGTAGCTCTGTTGTTGTTTTTTGTTTACCTTTTACATAACTAGTGTTTCTAGATTTGTAGTATGCTGAATTTTTGTTTCAAAATGTAATTTCACACTTCTAGTTACGAAAATATATCAAGATATATTTTGCAACTTAAGATATGGGTATTGACCTCGAGTTATTTTATGAATCTTTTCAACCTACCATAAAACTGATAAATACTTACTTAAGGTTGTTTTCAATGGCAATCGATATGTCTTTCCGGCTGTAAAGCAAATTAATGACTTATGTAATATATATACACACACACACATATACAATAACAGCAATTTATGAAAAGCGGGAAATTACTCGTTTAAATATATTATTATAAGAAAATTACCGTACTTTATATCATTTCCCATATATCCTATTTTTTTCTAAGCTTACAAGAATAATAAACATTTGAACTAAACTGCTACAGTTACAAAATATAGAATGAATAAACAATATAAGATCTCTCAGAGGGGAGATCTTTTATTTTTTGGTCTTTGCTAACAACCAGCACGATATAATTTTCATAATTTATCTATTGTTTCTGCTGCAGAAGGTTTATTACAGTTAATCTGTTGGCATTAACTATACGATCACAGAGCAAAGCAAAAAATACTGTACTAAGTATTAAGTAAACAAATCAACATATTCTCCTTACCTGCACCGTTGCTGGTGTTGACGATTTGTAGTTTTTTGAATAAATTAATACATTTTAATAATTTCGAATCAAAAGCATCTATTTGATGAATAATGCGAAAAATAAAATGTGCCGTTACTACATATAAACTAAGCAGAAGTATATATAACAGCTACAGAACTGTATAACGAAATGTGCGTGTATTACTAACGTAATATCTGTGCGTGTATTACTAACATAATATCTGTTACAGTTAGCCTCGAATAACCGTCGCACTGTATAAAAAATTACATGAATATTAATTAACAACGAGTGCCAATCATTGTTGATATGATGGCTGCCGTATACGCGTATATTATCGAATAGAATTTCTACATAATTAATGTCTGAAACTGTCAGTACCTGGAGAAACTCCATAATTACAGAACTGAGGAAAACAAAGACAAGTATACGTTTCACAAATATTTCGTTAATGACGACCATGACAAAGGTATCATCGGGTAGGTGATAACATATACGTAGCCTGGTGTTGGATTGTACTATAGCTTTACAGCACACACAGTAATAGTGTAGAACTGGTTCTTCATTGTCAGGGGTCTTCTAATCTCCTTGAAGGAGAGGGGATTTCAATTTCTTTCGGTCCTCTCCTCATATACGCACACAATACAGGCCATTTTTTATTGTAGAAATAAGGCTAGACAAGTGAAAGGATGTCATCTATATTACGTTCACTCAGTAATATCCCTGACACAAAATAAGGGTCGGACCACCCTGGCTTCTTAGGATAATGGGATTACCCTGCCATACTAAGAAAACTACACCAGGATAAAACCTATTTAGTTACAAAAATATTTTTTCCCAACAGTGTTATTTTTGAGCCCACACTGATGAACCACAATCCAGGGATGGAGGTCTGCTAGGAAATATGTAAAATAAAGTTTGTCACGATGGACTTTCCTGCAATTTTGCAAGAAAGAATACATTACATGTAACCTTTTCCATTCTGTTTTACTTATTAAATTATTTTGGTTAAAACACTTTCTGATGAATTACATTTCTAGTTCATCTTAATAATCTTGAAAGTAAGGTTTAGGTTGTTAGAATTTCGCGCAAAGCTACACGAGGGCTACCTGCGCTAGCCGTCCCTAATTTAGCAGTGTAAGACTAGAGGGAAGGCAGCTCGTCATCACCATCCACCGCCAATTCTTGGGCTACTCTTTTACCCACGATTGACCGTCACTTTATAACGCTCCCACGGCTGAAAGGGGCGAGCATGTTTGGTGAGATGAGGATTCGAACCCGCGACCCTCAGACTGCGAGTTGAGCGCCCTAACCACTTAACGTTCTAATTTTTGCAATACTGAAACTTTCTTGTGAACCAAAAAGGCAGTGACAAATTGATTTATATATTAAAACGTGTCAATATCAGTTAATCTCGTACAGATGTATAAGTCACCTTTTACTGGTATAATAAACGTCATTTCTATTTAATTTTTTTCAGAGCGATTCAAAGTTGAGCGTCAAATAATCAATTCGACCATAAAAAGAATTCTAAAATTTATTGTGGCTTTAAAGCAATTGATGTTAACATATTTAATTGGCTCAACTCCAAAGTGATAAATAACTTTCCATGATAAGCAGTTCTGCCAGTGTTAAAGCCATCAACCTGGATAAATAAATATTATAAAATCCAGTAAAAGTTTGCATAAATATTTTGGTTTGTTTGAAGTCAAGTACAAAGCTATGCCAACCATGGATATCGAAACCCAGTTTTTAGCATTTCAAGTCTGCAGACTTACTGCTGTGCCACTGGGGAGGCTTGTATAAATAAATGCATAAATTAGAAGTTTGCATAAAAAAAGTAAGAAGTAATTGTTTTATTTGTTTTTTTTAAGTCAGTTTCGAATATTCATCAGGCAGTAGCACAAATATTGCTGTTACAAATATTACACATTTAGATCATTTTTGAATAACTTAAGCAGCTTATCTTACAAGAAACAAAAAATACTCAGTTCAATATCAAAACATCCTTATTTATAAAAACTACATAGATGTTTTAAAAATAAATATTATTATTTCACTTCTCACTTATTTTTAAAATTAATAAATGAAGAAAAATTAGAATTTTTTTTATCTTAATGTCATTCTATTAGCGTTTTGATACTGACTGAGGAAATAATAATATTTTCAAGAAGTACAATGCTTGGTAGGCAAATACTTTTTGGTTTAGACGACTATGATCTGCCAGCTGTGTAGTTTTTAGTTTGTGTTAACATTTATTTTAAGTTCTAAATTAATTCAAGCTTTCTTCGTTTTCAAAGGGTTCGAATTTTTATAAAATAGAAGTATTCACGGGTTTAAAAAACTACTACGATTAAGCCTAAGTGAAGTTTTGAAAGTTTACTTTTCAAGAATTATAGGCGCTTTATTTCGGAAATGTTTATTTATGTATTATTTTAATCTTCAGGGGCTGGGTCATAAATTTCTAACAGAGCCGAACGACACAAAGTTTCCCTTTTGTTTCTTCGTCATTCTTTGATGTTACAAGTTGCTTTATTAGCTGTTTAATGCATTACATAGTATATATATTCTCCAATCAAAAATGACTTTATATTTTTATTATTTCTTTTCCGGCTTGTAAAAAAAGAAATATTAAAATTATTTTACCGATCACATTTGATCGAGTTTCTTTTCAATAGTTGTAAAAATACATAAATAATCGTCTATTCTATTCAATTTAAATGTTTGAAAACCAATGCAAAGTACAGCTGTACTAGTTTAATAGTGGGCGGAATATTTTGTGATTATAGCCCAAGTTTATCATGTTGCGTTAACATATAAGTTAAGAGAGATTTTCTTTCGACCTTATATCATTTCGCATACAATTTCTGTTTCTTCTCAAAGTGTAGTTCAATTTAGTTCACAACAAACCAGTCCTAAATTCCCCAGTCCTACTTTCCACACATGTTTCTGCCAGTATGTGTTCGGCATGGTCAGGTGGTTAGGGCGCTTGACTCCCAATCTGAGAGTCGCGGGTTCGAATCCCCGTCCCACCAAACATGGTCGATTTTTCAGCCGTGGGGGCGTTATAATATGACGGTCAATCCCACTATTCGTTGGTAAAAGAGTAGCCCAAGAGTTGGCGGTGGGTGGTGATGACTAGCTACCTTCCCTATAGTCTTTCACTGCTAATTTAGGGACGGCTATCGCAGATAGCCCTCGTGTAGCTTTGCGCGAAATTTTAAAACAAACAAACAAGCTGTCAGTATGTTAACAGAGCTGAAATCCTAAACTTTCTCTATTTAGTAAATCATACTAAACCCAACTTAGAAATTTACGAGTTAGACACATTCTTGTTTCAGCAGGGGTGGCCAGTTTATACTGTCCAACTGCCGGGACAATTTTATTTTCTCCTTCGGAAAAGTAATTTCTTTTTCATTTAATTATTTTTACTACAATTTTGAAATTACTGTTTTATCGCCGTTATAACACTAAAACAGTATTTTTGCAATTGAAATGTATACTGCTCAAACATAAATACAAAAAATTAATAAAAAAAATATACCTCTTGCCTGGTAAATTATAAAAGTAAATAATCAGAGGTAGCGATAGCTTTTTAAAAATTAAAATCTTCGTTAAGCCTACTTTTTTACATATTCTACCAAAATAATTAATTTTCGAGTGGACATTGTTTTAGATAAACAAAGTAACTTAACGTGCAAATAAATAGTGATGCATCAACTACAGTAATACCTATATGATTCCAGAACAACAGGAATATGCACAGTGGTATACGAGAAACTGGATATCTCAAAACTATACATTAAGTTATTATTTTGAAAGCTATAACTTTGTTTAAAAAACAACGATTATTTTATACACACGTGCCAAAAAAAAAATTAAGTTATTACATTGTTGAAGGTTTGGAAACTGAAAGATTTATCCACTTATCAGTCACCTGCTACAACAATACTATGTACACTTTTTTATATTTTAATACTAGAAATAAACGAACTTATAGCACCATATTTGTTATTTTTCTTTAATTGGACATTGAACGTTTCGTTTCTTCAGAAGCGTTCCACTAAAACACAAACCGTGTCCAATTCACGAAAATTAACTAATATAAAATGTTCTTTATACACCAATAAGCACTAGAGTAATAACTGTTCCATACTTGTTATTCCAGACAATTTAGTATTGTTTTACACGTTCAAATGCGTGTTTAAGACAATGTTGGGGCCATAAGTGTTAGCCTATATCTATAAATACGCAGTTACCCATAACCTTTATAACCAACCGACCGTAATGAATAATAAAAACTAATTTATTAGGCAAATGCGTAGTTTAGCCAAATTAAAAGCCCAGTATTTTGGGATATTCTTCAAGTAGCTTAAATTTGAGTCAAACTATATGATAATATAATAATATAATTAATTTTGTAAAATAAAACTTTTGATCTTACGTTATCTTACAAAGTTTGGAACCATTAGGGAATGAATAAGAATAAAACTAGAAAGTCTATCAAAATAACACAGTATTATTGTGTTAACAATAATGTTTAACTTCTCCATGCTAATCGCTGCAATGTTTGATTTTTATGATGATGGTATGATAGATGTAAGCTTTTTAAAAGTTAATTGTGTAGCACTATACCCAAATTTTCAGCATTTTTTACAAGAAATAAGAGAAAGTCCCATTGTAATAATATACAGGATGTCTGAAAAGTTTGGAAACATCGGTTATTTACAGCTTTTCTTAATTTCAGATACGTGACTGATTATGGCTCTGTCAAAACATAAGTAGGTAGAGTTAATCTTGCTGTTAATCGAAACTTGTTTCGAACTACAAGAACAGCATGTGAAGTACATTCTGCAAAATCCAATGAAGTGCCCATGGTTCCAGACTTTTCGGACACCCTGAACTATCTTGGATTGATCAATGTCGACTATATGATCCTACAGTAGCCTAAATAAAAGTCAAACAAAGTTAACATTATGTTCATACGTTCTTTAATAAAAAAAGTTGTAATTATTACAGTTTTACCTAACAAAGTTTAAAACCCAATAGGAAATAAGTAACAACAAAACCTAGTCTAAACAGATAATGTTAGTTTTATTATGATCAAAACACTTTAGATTCTCAACTGGGATGGGGAAGGGAGGGGTGTGGCCTAATGAGAGGCTAATTCGTCTTTGATCCCTAACTCCTATGACTGTTGTATATATATGCATCTGGGTCTGTTTTGTCTGTGTGTTTGTTCACGAGCTTGCTTGGAGCAGTGGAACATGTTTCATTACATAAAAAATAATAATAATGTCTACATTATAAATGCACAATATTATTTAATTTTTACATTTTATTAAAATTTCCAGCTTATACAAATCAGAATTCTTCGTCAATGTGACCACTGGATATAGTGTAAAAATGTACGATAAAAACACTTAATTACATCAAGTTTTGAAATACATCTTCTATCTGTATAGTTTAACAGTTAACATGCAAATTACATGTACTGTCTATAGACTATACAGTAAGTAGACACGCAAGGAAAAAGGCAAGTATTGATAATCCAGTGTCGAAATACATATTCCAGCATGTAAAATTGCGTAAGCGAAACGGAAGCAAGAAAAGAAGTAAAAACAAAGGCTGATGGAATATACAGCACTTTGTCGAATCCATTTCTAAGATAACTTATCTAAATATTTAAACTGACACTTAAGTTATATACATTGTACAGCTATAATCAGTTCTTGAGTTGAGGCGGAACGAACCGGAACGGTGTTCCGGTTGTTAACTTTTGTTAAACTACTGAAGCGATTTGTGCACCATGGGACTGCTGTTCGCAAATTGGATATCAAACCTGACAGTTCCACTTGTTAATTTTTTACAACTCAAGCACTGGCTATGGTAAAGAAATCAACTTACACGAAACAGAAAAAATGTGATGACATTGTACATAAACATAAGCGAAATATGAACAACAACAAAAGAAAATATTATCATTTTTGTTTTTTTCACGTGCCATGCACAAACTTTAGAAATGCTATCAAGTATGTTTTCATTGAATTAAGATTTCTTAAAAAAATATTATTAATCATTAAGTGATTGTGTTAGTTGTCTTCTAATTAAGAACGTCTTGTCCAAACGTTATTTTCAGTGCTCTACAAATAAAATTATTTAGGCCTATATGACGTTATCTTTATACTTTATCATGTTATTATTTTTCAACTTCACACTTCTCTAAAACAGACTGTATGAGCACAGCCAGGTTCGACTACTATTCAATGATTAATAAAAGCAAAATCCTAAAAGATATATTAAACTTGTGTGTAGATTTTTTGGGATGGAAAGAGGGCAAGTAAATAGATATTTCTAACATTCTGTCCCTCGGACAAGAAGTTATTTTCAAAAATTGTACACCTCTGTTTATTATGTTTTCTTCATATTTATCCTATTCATTTTTAATCTTATAAATCTTAGTCATACAATACATATTAATCTAATTATATTTTATTAGTATGTACCATATATTGGGTAATGGTTTTACTTCTAAGCATTTCACAATCGTAAGATTCTTTGAGTAGGAATTTGTCAAAATAACAACTGGTTGCGCTTTTTAATCAGTGTCATTCGGTGTTTTTAAATAAAAGATAGGTTTAGACTGAAATGAATGTAATATTGTGAACTTGTTAATTTCGTGCAATTTAAATATTTAGGTCACTAATAAAGACAAAAATTTAAGAACTACACATAAAATTCTTGTGACAATTTTCACTGATTCTGGATTACATGACGATTTTAAAAGGAATACTGACAGTCAAGGATCAGTTCTTTACTCACTTCATGTAGGCTTCAACATAACGTTTCAGGTTGCGAGCGTTTATTCTCTTTTTCAAATTCTCTACGTAGTCCTGAATTAGCTTTTCTTTATTGTCAACCATCTCCAGTTGCTGAAAAACATCATACTACGATAGTACAAACTAAAAACTATTTAACTTATGTTCAAAATAATAGTCAGTTAATTATTAAAGTTACAAAATCGACAGCAGGAAAATATTAAATATACAAAAAAAAACGTAAATATTAAATATACAAAAAAACGTAAATATTAAATATATAAAAAAACGTAAATATTAAATATACAAAAAAAAAATTAAATATTAAATATAGAAAACAAAAAACATTACGTATAATTATTTATTCACTAGATTTCCGTTTCTGGGTAGAGGACAAAAATCTGATCCTTGTTCCAAAATTCAACATGAATTAATTAAAAGTTTCTCTATTAAAAGTGCAACAGTAAAATTGGGTTTAAAAACATTGAAAATTAAAGACTTTTTTTGTCAAGAAAAAATATAATTTTGTATATTTTAGATTGTTCAGTATTTAACATTCTTAATTAAAGTATTTATTATCATATTTCAAGTTAAATCAGTAAAAATAGCGTCTACAACGTTGCATTAATTATATAGGAATATTGTATTGGACTCAAGGTTTTCTTGTTTTTTAACATAAATTATCACCAACTTAAAAGATAAAAGTCGGCTATTTTATACTTAAAACGAAAGGTACTTATAATCGAAAATGAAAATAGTAGTTACGTAAAATTTTTATGATTTAATTTTACTTAGTTAGAAAGGCTAAAGAAGATTTACACGAAAAAATTGCCCTAAACAATATTAATCTGGGTATATTTGTACTTCTCAGCTCTTAGAACTAACAACAAAGAGATTAAAACTGAAAATATATTTCATATTTTCCACTTGTGAAATATGTCTGTAAATTGATGTGTAGTATACGTGATACGAATCTAACTGGTGTGAAATATTGCTGCACTGAAAAGTTGTGCCATTTAGGGTGCGAGATGCATGTGCCTCATAATAGGGCAAGAACATTCAGAGCGACACACTGCATCCCTCCTGCTAAGACAAAACAAACCATCCAATATGTCAATCACTGACAGAAAAGTTCGTTGTTGAAAGGCATGCAAGTTACCACATTTACCGGCCATGCTGATGATAGAGTAGTTGCCACCATAAATACTGTTTTTATATTCCATTATCTCTTTCACCAAACTGATTTAACGTACGTGTAACATGCAAGAAAAAATACGGAAAGTATTAAATCAAAGTGTAAGACATGCGAAAAATGCTGACGACATTAGGAAACTTGTTTATCATCTCATAGTTCAATCAGGAAACAGATCATGTAAAACGTTTCAGTTTCGTAAAATGAATGCAAAACTGACAAGAATGATATAAATACATGATATTCTAAAATATGATTGGATGTAGATGGTAGATAATTAGTAATTTTACTGGTATTTTATATTTCTTATAAAACCACTATTTATTTTATGTCTGGAAGAGTATTTTCTTTATTACTTTACATGTTGAATATTTCTGTAAAACATGAGGAAAGGTCAAAAGAACAAAGACACCCGAAATCTCCTCTGATTGAATTAAGATGTGTTGTTGTTTTTAATTCAAATAATCCAAGATTAATTTTTGGTATAATTTTTGCTGTGAAAATGTAACAAAGAAGTGATAATATCTATTTTAAACATTAGTCACGTGCACCATGCTGATGGAACTACATTCACCACTACGTAAATGCATGAGTACAATACGATGACATATTAGACGGGCGGATGAAATGGAGGACACGTGACGTGACTACACGGGATGGTAACAGCTAGACATCCTTTAGGCGCCACGAGACATTCAACCACTAGATTTTAGATTTCTTGAAAATCATTTTAGGTTAGACATTGTATTAGGTCTGAATGATAATACTTTTTGTATTGGGTTAGCGAGCTGTGTAAAATAAAACCTATCAAGAAAACGTCAAGAATAAGAAATGATAAAAATGGGGTTAAAAAAGTTGATCGATTGATTGAACTCAGATGGTATGTTCAGCGCGGCGCCGTGTCCTTCATTCCATCGATAAATAATAAGATACTCCATTCTTGGTTACCTCCTGTAGCTCAGCAGTACCAGAACACCAACAGGATCGTCACAAGACATAGATAGGAAAACAAGAGGAACGAATACACGTTAGTGGAGACACATTCAAAACACACTGAGTTAATACATTCAATCTGTTATGCAAACAATGTTATTACGCATTAAAAAATAGCTTTTCTTTTCTTTTATAATGCGAGTAAGAACCTAATAGAGCATATGTATTCCCGTTTAATAAATATTTAAATCATATCAAACTTAAATCTTGATCAGATTATTTGAGTAAACAAAAAAGCCATACATTTTATTAGTCTTGTTTGGATGTAATAATTAGAGCAAAAACATGTTAATATAAATTAAAGAAGATCACTAGTTTTACTAACATACTGTAACACAAATCTTATTGCAACGTAGTTTCTAATGTGAAATTGTTATTTTTTTGTACATGAATCTTGTAATACAAAAAAAAATCAAAAGTAAAATTTATTTTCAAAACTTTATATATATATATATACACAATTACATATGTCGCACAAGACAATAAAAAAATTTGTAGAACAAAATGCAGTGAGCTTAAATTATGACATTATTTATAGTTTAATTGTACAAAAACATAGGGACAGATGCCCATCAAATCAGAAAATAACAAACGAATAGAAATAGCAATTTATTTAATGCTGAGCGTGAAAAGTTTGTTGATAAGAACAGTAGTAGAGGCAACGCCTTAGACGTCGTTCATTAGGTGTACGCAAATCGTTATATATAAAAACAATAACACATCGCAACTTAAGAAAGAAAAATAGCTTCGTGATTTTTTCCTTTCTTGATCATCACAGTTTAATACATTTATTTGGTTAAATCTTTTTAAAAAATAATACTTTTTAAACTGAAAGAAACACAGGCTGTTCCACAGCTACAACTGAACGAGAAAAATAGACAATTTACCGTTCCAAACTTGTGTAGAACGAGGTACTGCTCAGCTGAAGGATTCATTCCAACACTCTGCAGTTTCCAGTTCAGAATCTACAAAAAATTAAATTGCAATATTCTTCTCATCTTCCACTGCGATACAGTTTTTGTTTTTACATAGGCTTCTAAATGTGATTTACAAATACTATTTTGATTTTTTTCCCATTATTACGGTTCCTTTCTTTTCGTAGACATTTACGTAAAAGGAGATAACATGAAATAAAAGTTGCTTCAACTGGCTAAAGTAAGTTCATTAGCATCGAATAACGCATCTTAAATTGCTTATAAATAAAACGCTATGAGAGATTATGCTGATAAATAAGTTTCAATCACCTATTGTAAACTTATTTTTATGTTATCTAAAGTTCATGGCTCCCTCTATTACCTAGTTTGAGCAAAAAATAAATCAATTACATAAGTAGGAATAAAGTCGTGAAATTTTTCAGTTTCCCAATATGAGAAACTAGCCAAATTCAAGTTCGTTACAAGACAGTAGAAATTTCTGAGCTGACCACAAGAACAACAGTGATATACTAGCAGAGACACGCAAAACATTTGTGGTCAAATTAGTATCTGTATTGCAACAGTACTTCTTCAAATACAGGATTTCTAGAATAATACAAAATAATTCTAATTGCAGACACCAAAATCTGTAAGTCCACTAGTCTTAGGCCTAACATTACCGCCTGTGGGCCCCGCATAGCCAGGTGGTTAAGACGCTTGACTCGCAATCTTAGGGTTGGGGGTTCGAATCCCCATTCCACCAAACATGCTCGCCCTTTCAGCCGTGGAGGCGATATAATATGACGGTCAATCCCACTACCCGTTGGTAAAAGAAAAGTCCCAAGAGTTGGCGGCGGGTGGTGATGACTAGCTGCCTTTCCTATAGTCTTACACTGCTAAATTAGGGACGGCTAGTGCAGGTAGCCCTCGTGTAGCTTTGCGCGAAATTTCAAACAAACAAACAATTACGGCCTGTATTCGATAAAAAATAAGGTACTTAAACTATCAATAAATAAACTTATAATGTTATTGTACGACCTAACGTTATACCTTTTTTAAAACTTTGATAAGCTTTTAATATGTTATTATACAAAATATCTAATAAAGTATATCAACATTCGCCTTTTGTTCACATTCGTTAATATGAATCGCATTTAGATAGTAACGTGCGCGCGCATTTTGAGAACAGACAAAAACTGGGTATTATAATAAGAGATATATTAACATGCCTATTAATAACCTATTACCATAGTTACAGAGGATTCCTTAGGTATTTGTTGTACATATTAGTATCCTTTACTTAAACCTTCATATAACTCTATTCTCACCTTGTCCTTGAAATATTCCATCATCCCAACTCCTGTAGACACACAATGGATTAGAACCAGTCCCAATACTCTCGCAGGATGAGCCAGCTGTCAAAGGTGGATAAACATATATTTTGAAATGATCAATGAAATGCTTATTTGAAATAGATAAATCATTCTAATAAATGAAATGATGTTTTAAACTTTACTACGAAATTATTTAACGACGCTTAAACTGAGGGTTTCACAGAGTAGGCTTCGTAACAGTTAATATCAGCAATAGATGTGGACAATTTACTTAACATGAACATATAAGTCACAAAGTTCTGAACATTTAAACTCGAGTTAAAAGCAAAACCATTCCTACCCCCCCACGTAACGTGAGTGAGAAAATTACACAGGAACTAAGTTAAGTGTTAAAACTATAATAGTCGTTAATACGATTCCTAGTTACATGAGTGTGTGTGTGTGTGTAAAAAAATTTGTTTTTCTTTGCTGTTAAGCACAAAGCTACACAATGGACTATTTGTGCTATGTCCACCACGAGTATCAAAACCCAATTTTTAGCCTTTAAGCCCACAAACTTACTACTGAGGCATCTCTAATATATAAAAACAAGTTTTTAAACATACTGTGTAGGTAATAAATTAAAATTATTTATCACTATTGTTCTTAATGAGGTTGAAGTTTGATTTAGAAAAATATAAAGCCATTTTTCCAAATCAATAGCCCCCACGCCACCCAGTGAATTAGGGATAAGTCTAAAGACTTGTAATGCTAAAAACTGGGTTTTGATACCTGTGATGGGCACAGCACTGATAGTCCATTATGTAGCTTTGTGCTTAGCAATAAAAATTCAACTCAGTAATAATGCCATCTTTATTTTCATTTAACAAATAAAATTTATATTTTAAAATGTTATTTAATATTATTGTTTAATCAAACAAAAATGGCATTTTTATAGCGTTTAACAGTAAATATATCCATATATTTCAAGACATGGTTTAAACTGGTTAACGTAATTTATCTTTGAATACTTATTTACATAATAATATCAGTTTTGTTGTGCGACTGGTCTCCATTAAATTTCAGGGCCCAAAGGTAAGAAATTAAAAGGGAAGTAGATTTGGAGTGTAAGAACGAATGTTGGGAAAAAGATAAACGAAGTTACAACTGAAGTTTGGCAGAAGCAACTTTTATTACCTGTACTTATGTAGCATCAAACAACCTCAACCCAAGTATGAAACAGGTCAACAGTGACAAATCAATGGATAAAATTCACAATCACGTGGTAATAAAACTTATATCTCATTACAGTCTCACATTAAGCAGTACTTTCCATCGATTTACGCATACCAGACTTACTCAAGAAATAATGCTGCTGGTTTCAACCATCGATTTACGCATACCAGACTTACTCAAGAAATAATGCTACTGGTTTCAACCATCGATTTACGCATACCAGACTTACTCAAGAAATAATGCTGCTAGTTTCAACCATCGATTTACGCATACCAGACTTACTCAAGAAATAATGCTGCTAGTTTCAACCATCGATTTACACATACCAGACTTACTCAAGAAATAATGCTACTGGTTTCAACCATCAATTTACGCATACCAGACTTATTCAAGAAATAATGCTGCTGGTTTCAACCATCGATTTACGCATACCAGACTTACTCAAGAAATAATGCTGCTGGTTTCAAACTTCTACAGTTAAAATACAACCTTGGATACTGCAAACACTTAGTAACCCTACAGATGCTAATGGTAAAGTACTAAAATATACTCACTTATTTTAATCATACATTGTATTACGCTTAAACGAACTTAAATTTTTATTTAAATCATAAACATTAAACATACATAAAAACATATAGAAGATTAAGGATATCAATATATATATATATTGAAGAAAAGAAAAATTAGAAAATAATGTTACTGAAAGGAAGTGAGGTGAGAGTATTAAAAGAGGACTCGTGAAACTACAAATCTTGTGAACATAGTACATAAAGG